ATTTAAACAAGTAAAAGCAGAAACATTTAAGTTGCCAAAAAAGGTCGGCACTCTGTATTTAATCATGATCAAGAAGACCAGTTAGAAAGATACATAATCGGTTGCTGCAAGACTTTTTATGGCATAACCCCAAAGTATTGCTTACAGATTTGCTGAAGCTAACAAATTAAATCACGGATTCAACAAAGAATTTCAATTAGGAGGCAAAGACTGGTATTATTCCTTCTTGACTAGACATCCTTCCGTCAGCCTACGAACTCCAGAGGCTACTTTGCTAACAGAATAACCGCTTTTAATGCCACTGAAGTGAAACTATTTTTTGACCAACTAGAAGCCCTGCAAACAAGACATAATTTTTTTATTCATCGAATTTTTAATATTGACGAAACAGGCATTAGCACTGCTCACAAAAATTCTAAAATTTTAGCTCCAAAAGGCTTAACGGGGCTCCTACAATCACTAGCACCATCTGCTGAGGTAACGGGGTGGGGGGGGGAGAAAAGGAAACGAGGATGGGTTGGGCCTAGACGGTCGCCGGCGCTACTTTAAAAGAGGAAAGGATGACTGCGGGTGCATACCAAGGTAAATTTTTATAATAGCAGAGTCGGATTTCGATTAGCGATCTAGAAGTAAATCGTTTCTTATTTTGGTACTCAGCAAGTGATCATTTAGTATTTTGCTCCCCTTGTGACTGTTCGTCGATATTGTGTTGTTGAATTGTTGTTGGTGTGATTGTTCTTGAGTGCCTTTTTTATCAAGGCTGATAATGGACAATAAAGGGTCATATGCGACCATTTTAATTTCGAATGCAGTGAGTTTAATTCATGATGAGGTCGACAATAGTGTGGAGCAGTTTAACTCTATAATCGCAAAATACATTGGGGTAAGCGAATAAATTATTGCAAGAAGAGGTCATACCATGGAAGATGTGCTGCAGTTGTAGTGAGCCACAATACCCAGCGGCGTGTATATTTGGTCTAAATACATTTGCGTTCTAAGCTAGGTCCAACCTCGCTTATCGCTAAGATGGAAACAGACTCAAACGCAAGAATCTTGAAAAGAAACTAAGACCAAATAAAGCTGACATAAAAATAACTAACAATTCTGTTAGCAATTCCAAAGAAAATGAATAGTTTTATGAAGAATTCAATCAAAAACCTGACATTAACTACATTGATTTGGGGGTTACTAAGCGAACATTTTTAGGGAAACTTGAAAAAAGTGACGACGAGATTTTGCAGATCGAACAAATCACCAAATAACAGGACTGTACTTTGTCGCGCCTTCATCGGAGGATAAGGTTTACAGCGTCTCGATTTGGTGAAGTTTGTAGAAGGCAGACAACAAGCTGTAAAGTTCTAGTAAACTCCATCATATACCCAACAGAGTTATCTAGTAACGCAATAAAAAAGGCAATACAAAAATCATACGACACGGCAGTTCAATCTTGTGGTTTGTAATTTGAGTTCTTGAATTCATTTTAGGAAAGATATCAAATTATGTATTTGAATACATTTTTTCTTAGTCGGAACGAACCGTCGCGTCGCTTGGACTGGCAGGACGAAACAGTAGACGAATTTCGCCCAAAAACCGATTTGCGCTTCACAGCTTACGTTTCATTTTTTATTATTTCCAAATGAAACTCTTGCAGCGTGCTAAAAGCAAAGTCCACATGGTGCTAACGATCCACTTTTTCGATTTTATCCACTAGGATCTTTTTAAAATATCAAGAAGTTGAGCACAAATAGTAAATTTCAACCCACCATAATTCTTGCGCAAAGAAAATTTTTTGTAAAACGCTCTGATAGCACCTTAGGCAATTATGTCCTGCTTATATCCAGAAAAACATCACAAACTGCAGAACACAAATTGAACGTAACGGCGAAACGGGTACATTTCACGGGTCATGAAAATCTAATGAAAATTCAGGTAAAAATCTACCAAATTATCGTTCTCAAAAACATATGTCCTTGGCATATCGATAATTTTAAAGTTCCACGCTAAATTCCCCTATACTTGACTGGAGTGATATCCGAATTCATCAATGTCAAATCTATAGAGCAGGTACCGATTTGTTCAAATCGTGAGCACATTATTCGTCGGATTTTCGTTACTTACATTTCCTGTAATCACTGGGATCAGAAGCTTCTTAATAATAGAACGTGTTTCACTGATATCAAAGATGCAACATTCAGAATCACCTTCCCCCAACCCCCACTTTTTAAGCAGTACAATATTTTTTTCTGTCAATGATAAGGAACCCCTGTAACGTCAAAAACGGAGTGTCAGCAATTGTTACTTTTTCTTTTTTGCCTATAGCACCGTTGCCACTGGACTAAAACTACTAAGCTTTGGCATACTAGTAACCCCGTGTGGAAATTTCATAAAAATCCGAGCGGTTATTTCCAAGTTGATGAGTGATACAGTTTTTCGTGATGTAGATGTCATATGACTTAAAAAACATAACATCTCATTTTAGAAATTTTTCGCGATTACAATACTTCCTCGCCAATGACGTGGGAAGTAAAACGGCTTTAAAATCGAGGAGTATCAGCGATCGCGATTATGAGTACCTATTTGCAGAACGACTTATCTACGCGATATTATATGAAATAGGGCCACCAAATTATCTGAATACGTCCTTTCTTAGTCCGTGCATTGTGCCGCAACGCTTGGGTTGGCAGCACCAAACAGTAGACAAAATTGACGCTTTATTTTGATATTTTTGGATGAAATTTTCACAGAGTGCTGAAAACAAAACCCCACAGGGTGTTATAGAGCCACTTTTTAATTTTTTTCACTAGGTTCTTTTTAAAAAACTCGCGAAGTTGAACAGAAAAAGTACGCACTTCAACCCATCATAAAACTTGTGCAAACACAAAATTTCAAAAAGTGCTCCTATAGCACCCTGGGCAATTATCTTCTCAACATACTGTATGAATTTCACTCAAAACTATTGAAAAATGGAGTGTCAGTTTTGAAGCAGCTTGTAAATGGCTTGAAACTCACTGCGTCGGAGCCGCCTTAAAACAAGTAGCAAAAGCGACAAGTGGAGAGCGCGGTGTCACAACAACCATTGTTTGTACTGCTAGCGCCAATGGTACATATGTACCCCCTATGTTCATCTTCAAAAGAAAAAGAATGAGCGAGCTATTACTGTAGGACTGTAATAGAGATATGATTGTCACATTTTCTGATTCTGGTTGGATAAATGGGTCAATATTTGTTCATTATCTGCACCACTTCATTTCTTTTGTTAGACCAACAAAAGAAGATCCAGTATTAATTGTGCTCGATAATCACGAGAGTCATATTAGCCTTGGAGCATACCAGCTTTTTCGAGAACACAACCTGCATGTTCTTTCCTTGAAACCCCATGTATCTCACAAAATGCAGCCACAGGATTTGACTGTCTTCAGTTCGATAAAGAATGCATACAATCGGCAATGTGAACTCTATAAGGTTAACAATCCTGGAAAACGTATAACCCAATACGAGGTTGGAGAATTATAACGAAACAGCTAACATAAGCAAGGCCGTCAGTGGATTTAGGGTGGCTGGAATTTATCCTATTGATAGAAATAAATTCAAAGACTCAGGACCAACAACCGAACCTAGTTTGAACAGACACATTGATCCTAGTGCCATTCAAACACCTACTCAAAATGATACATCGAGTCCTAGAATCGAAACTGATTTAGATGTTACTTTATCCACCTCTGTGCCTCTTGATGAAATCATTAATATACCTATCGTTCCTCAAACAGCAACGTCTTCCAAGCGCCGAAATAAGCATTTCCAAATATTGTCCAGCTATTAAATATCAATTAGAGGAAAAACAGAAAAGACAAATAGAGAGGACAATCAAAACAGAAAAAGTGTCAATAAAAAAATCAGAAAAAACAAAATAAAGCAGAGGAAATGAAAGCACAAGTTAAAGGCAAGGGAGTAAAAAATTTGACGAAAGACTTAGAGGACAATGAAAATAAAGAAGTTTATTACTGTATAATCTGCGGTGAAAAATATGAATCACCACCTAGAGAAGATTGGTTCATGTGCGTCATTTGTACCAACTGGGCACATGAGGAATGTACCACCGGAAAATCTCGTAAGGGTTACATTTGTGATTTATGCAAGTAATTGTAGTATTCATAAGTATGTAACTATGTCGCTTCCGATCACCTTATATCGTTCCTATTTCCCCGACGGACTGATCTCAATTACCCCACACCATATCGGGTAAAAAGGAATGATAGTGTTTTTTATTTTCTATTTTTTTATTGTTTACTTTGTTTTGAAGCATTTGAGTATCGTTATGTAAGTAAATCACCAAACTTACTATTGCAATAAATTTTGATTACATTTGTAACGCTTTTTTTATTATTTTTTTGTGTTTTAAAATAGGTTGTTCCCAATTACCCCACTTTCCCCTAACTCATTTTGATCACCAGGAAGCGGCCAGCCCTAACGCAGTAATGCTGATATTTTTCACACATTGTAATTAGACAAGCCATCATTAAATGGCTCAACAAGTATTATAATGCATGAAATTCATAAGCTAAAAACATATATTCTTGTCTGATTCCGATCAAGTGAGCCGGTTTTAAAATTCGATTGGGCGATCTGAAAATGCATATGCTTTGTAGTTTTCCGGGTCGCTGTTTGCGAATCCATTATCAATATTACTACAACTCAAAAATAGACTTAACGGTCCTTTACAACGGCGAGAGGGGGAGGAGGGTTGGACGTCTTTTGGGAGCTGTCAAAATTTCATTGAATTCAAAAGTACGTTCAAAAGTTATTTGAGAAAAACCGATTTCCTGGGATCTGTATCTCTGTAGGGGAGCCATTATTTCTTAGAACTTGTGATTTTTTTTCTTCTATAGCATGGGAGAGGTTGATATGTTATTCTGGGACACCCTGTAAAAAATAGGTAAAATCACCTTTGGTAAAACGGCTTGGAATAAATAATTGCTCAATGGCAACTCGCTTTTACTCACTGCAGTCAGAACGTACACATTCACGAAATCCTTTGGTTTATCTTTGGATATGTGTAAAGTTACGGAAATCTTATTTTTCTCTTCCATCAAAGTAATTGGTGGTATATTGCTGGGCCTAATATCCTCCAATTTCACGAAAACATCGCTCAGTTTTATGTCGTGCCTTTTTGAGTCTTGGATTGTTTTTTTTTCATTATTCATGTTCGGTATACTAGGAGATCCAACATTTGAAGCTTTATCCACAACCAACATTTTTTCGTCACTAATATCTACAAGAAAATCATCACTACTATCCATAGCATTTTTTGATTCTTCTGATGACGTGTTCATTTTATTATTTGCTTGAAGCAGGTAGTTTAAGTCTAAATTCAAAGTTTCAGCAAGTACAGTGGGTGTATCTTTCTCTCCTGACTTGGTCAATAGGTTCATGGGCACTTTGTCATGAGATTTACTGAAAAGTCCAGAGCGGATTCCCTGGAGGTTCTCCTTTAAGAATTGCTCACCAAGCACATCTAGATCCTCCAAGGCTTTGAATTTGTTTTGTCGCATTTCTTTGTCATCATCACAAACGCTTATTTTATCTAAAAAGATGAAGAATAACGAATAATGAGTATAAAAACAATACAATACACAGAGATTCTTAAGAGAGTTGCAAATATATGTACAAAATTAACAAGCAAAGTTCCTATAAATATGAACCCTAAAATCCTTCCTTACTGAGATACATGACGTTGAATTTATATTTAAAATGGCAATCTCTCGGGTGCATATACAGGGTATTTCAAACTTGACCATTGGGATCTCGGAAACTGTAAGAGATAAGAAGTCGCTTAAATGGGGACAAAATTGCAGATTTGAAGAGTGCTAATTCAAAATCGCCTAGGTGTCACATTTGGGAATTTTCGAATTTCAGAGATTTTAAGGCCTATGTACCATTGCCAATACTAAACCAATCAGTCTATGTGCCAGTCAATAATCTGCAGTTCTATATACGTATTTCAAATTCGCCTATAGTCTATCTCCACTAACATATGTATATGTGTTTCATTAATTTTGCAATAAAACCTTTTTGGCACTTACACGCTTTTGAATTACCACTATTCATTTATGTAATTAACAAAATTCCGCTTAGAAAGTTTCGAAATTCAAAGTACTACCGGAGACCGACGGGAAATATAGAATTTTCCCAAAATCGTTATATTTCCTGACTTTATTTGTAGTGGGATTTTAAAATAAATTACACATCAAAATTGCCACTTTATGTCATAATTAGGATTTCAATATGACGTTTCGTCTCTTGTCCTCCAGCATCAACTTTTTTATATATATATATATATATATATATAAAGAGAAAATTATCAATCGGAGAAGGGTATATAACAAAAATAGGAAAATAATGGACAAAATCCGCAAAAAGTGGATTCGAGCAGAAAATAGGATAGGTAACCCGAGCGATACGTATTTCTGCTGGTTGGCTTCATCAGGCCCGAAATGAATGCACATATGCAACTACAAAAGTAGAGACACATGCCCATACATCCTGATACGGGTGTAACCTGAGGAAACAAAGTTGGAGAGGAAAAAAAAGACACACGAAGTCCACAACAAGAGCCAACCTACACATTGTAGTATAAAATGGCTAGAAGACCTCGAATTTTCAAGGCGACAAATAACCACAACCACGCGGCCGGTTATAGCCACTTGCTGTGGTACTTCTAGCCCAAAGGATCTACAAAGAGAAAATTATCATGCGGAGAAAGGTATATAACAAAAATAGGAAAATAATGGACAAAATCCGCAAAAAGTGGATTCGAGCAGAAAATAGGATAGGTAACCCGAGCGATACGTATTTCTGCTGGTTGGCTTCATCAGGCCCGAAATGAATGCACATATGCAACTACAAAAGTAGAGACACATGCCCATACATCCTGATACGGGTGTAACCTGAGGAAACAAAGTTGGAGAGGAAAAAAAAGACACACGAAGTCCACAACAAGAGCCAACCTACACATTGTAGTATAAAATGGCTAGAAGACCTCGAATTTTCAAGGCGACAAATAACCACAACCACGCGGCCGGTTATAGCCACATCCTATTTTCTGCTCGAATCCACTTTTTGCGGATTTTGTCCATTATTTTCCTATTTTTGTTATATACCTTTCTCCGCATGATAATTTTCTCTTTGTAGATCCTTTGGGCTTGAAGTACCACAGCAAGTGGCTATATATATATAGGTGAAAAATTAAAGCTTCCGCCTTTTGTTGGGTACTTCGACATATACTACATACACCTAACTGGTCTAGACGACAATGACCACGTCTCAAGTTATATATATATACACATTTGGTCACTGCTTTAGAACTGTTAAATAGTGATATTAAAAATTACGAAATGGTTAAATGTTATTAAACCTAAATTGAACACTAATGAAAAAAAATGTATGTCAATAGGGAAACATTTAGGTGACAATACAATTAGGCTCATGATTAATGATGAAAAAATTGAAGTAGTTGAATCATTTACATATTTGGATATAGTATATGTGGATAGTAAACTACCGTTCCACGAGAATTACCAATACATTATTTCAAAAATATCAAAAAGACAACTTACTTCTTGAGTTTCTCACAATCTTAGTATGTATTCCAAAAAAATTATCTATAACACTATAATTCTTCTCTATTTTTTATATTGTTCAAACATTTTGTCTACAGTAAATGAAAACATATTTTCAAAATTACAAATTCTACACAATGGAGCTATGAGAATCATTCTAAATGAAAATAAATATGCTAGGATTAAGTCTATGTTAGAAGAACTACAATGGTTGAATGTAAAAAATTTCATATGTTATTTAGTTCTCATTTTCATATTCAAATTAAAAAATCACTAATTACCACCGCATTTAGAAAACACACAATTAAATAGTCATTATCATAACTACGAAACTAGAGGCAGTATAGATTTTCATCTGCAAAATTAGTAGCATAACTAGCAAATCTGTATTTCAAAAGGGAGTATTTGAATTTAATAAATTGAATAACATATTAAACAGTGTTCAAATTTAAAATCGTTTAAGGTGAAATTAAAAATCACTATGAATATTAAAAATCACTTTATGAATACTCAAAATGCATAGTAATGTAATTTTAATATATATATATAACTTGAGACGTGGTCATTGTCGTCTAGACCAGTTAGGTGAAAAATTAAAGCTTCCGCTTTTTGTTGGGTACTTCGACAAGATTTAAGCAAAGAGGACTCTTTATACTTTTTTTAATTCTCTCTAGCTTTCAATGGACTTTGCCATCATCATCAGGAGCTGCAATTACAATGATAACAGTAGCAACAAAGGTGTAAAATGAATTTAAATTGACTCAACTTACAGTAGTATGTGAGAATGTTGCTAATTGTTGTTTACGCATAGGATGAGGGAAACGTCCAGTAACATGGTGAGAGCTGAATAGGTTGCACAATAGTCAAAATTTATACAAAACATGACAAGAACACGTTAAAAACAGATTAAAAATTATTTTAAAAAATTAGAACATTACATCGTGAAACCACCTGATGATTGCACAAATTAGTGGTCATGGAATGATGAATTGATGAGTGACATGAAACCCTTTGACAGAAGGCCGAAGGATGTCAATGTCAGTATTGAAAGATGGAACGAATTGTGGGCGTGTGCCAAAAACGTTGCCAAATCACTTCAGATGAAGAGATTTTCAGAATTTTATGATGGAATTTGTTAAACCGCAATTGCAACAACTGCAACCAAATATACATAGGTCAGACCTCCAGATCTCTTAAAGGAAGGATTACATCACACAAAAGTGATGCTAGGCTTCATCCTGAAAGATGCGCTCTAGCATCTCATGTTAACACAACAGGGCATTCTATGAATTACACAAGTATCAAAGTTCTTGATAAAGAAAAACACCTTTCCAAACGTTTATTCCTGGAAATGTCCCACATTTTCATGAATAACAACTGTATCAACAAAAAGACAGATGTTAAACAACTGAGTGTCATTTACTCATATTTGCTAAACTGCGAAAAATTGGAGAACTTACATATCTCCCCAAATTTCAACTCTTCACAACCATAATTAGAATCTGTGTTTTGGCCGTTTCCACCAGTAAATTTCATTCCACTCAAAATATAATAATTCTCTCCTCACGATTTATTAATAATTGTTAATTTAAATTCCCATTAATAATAATATAGTTTATTCAACTGCCTCTGGTCGGTTTAACAAATTCCATCATAAAATTCTGAAAATCTCTTCATCTGAAGTGATTTGGCAACGTTTTTGGCACACGCCCACAATTCGTTCCATCTTTCAATACTGACATTGACATCCTTCGGCCTTCTGTCAAAGGGTTTCATGTCACTCATCAATTCATCATTCCATGACCACTAATTTGTGCAATCATCAGGTGGTTTCACGATGTAATGTTCTAATTTTTTAAAATAATTTTTAATCTGTTTTTAACGTGTTCTTGTCATGTTTTGTATAAATTTTGACTATTGTGCAACCTATTCAGCTCTCACCATGTTACTGGACGTTTCCCTCATCCTATGCGTAAACAACAATTAGCAACATTCTCACATACTACTGTAAGTTGAGTCAATTTAAATTCATTTTACACCTTTGTTGCTACTGTTATCATTGTAATTGCAGCTCCTGATGATGATGGCAAAGTCCATTGAAAGCTAGAGAGAATTAAAAAAAGTATAAAGAGTCCTCTTTGCTTAAATCTTGTCGAAGTACCCAACAAAAAGCGGAAGCTTTAATTTTTCACCTATATATATATATATATATATATATATATATATATATATATATATACAGGGTGACTTTGAAGTTGAGTCATTAATTTTCAGATAATGATTGTAGAAGGAAGATAAACCAAAATATGTGTGTAAAAATAAAATAAAAATGAAAAAAATGTTTTACCTTGTTTTATAAAGTATCCTCCCGACAAGTATTTCAGTGCGGACCTGTATTTGATCGTGAGGTCTCCTGTGAGGTCTTAAGTCACTTGATTCACGAGCCCGTTGTACTACATTAACAAAGGCACGAGGGGTTGGTTGCACTCGATTGGGAAACCGATCCGCATAAACTTGTGCCATTTTTTATTTCGTTTGAGCCACGTAACAGACACTATTCACACGCCTTACCGACTGACATTGACTGTATGTATAACTGAACTGAAGAAAATAATTGTAAAACATCGTTCCAAATTCTTTCGCTTTTTTGTTTCCGATGCGATGAACCGAGGCGGATTATATCCGTTGTTGCCAAACACGAGCACATGATATTACGAGTATTATTGAACAGGGCGGTACTCAAACTTCCAAAGGGCTATAACTTTGTTACTTGAATTTTACCAGAAAAATGGTAAAGGAAAAAACATTTCTTTTGATCAGATCTACTCACTGTTAAAATAAATGACTCAACTTCGAAGTCACCCTGTATATACATCGTGATCAGCGTTTCAAATTCTTTCGCTTTTTTGTTTCCGATGCGATGAACCGATAAGGCGGATTATATCCGCTGTTGCCAAACACGAGCACATAATATTATTATTGAGACAGGGCGGTACTCAAACTTCTAAAGGGCTATAACTTTGTTACTTTAATTTTACCACCAAATTGTTAAAGGAAAAAAACATTTCTTTTGACCAGATCTACTCACTGTTAAAATAAATGACTCAACTTCAAAGTCTATATATAATGTATATATAATCTAAAACCTTATATACCCGTAACTAATCAGTTATTATATACAAATTTAGCCCAGTCTTTCTTATTTCTCGCCCGGCGCACTGCTTCGTTCCAACTTATTCCCCTGTTCTTGAGTATTTTCGCCAATCCATCATTCCACGTCTTTTTCGGTCGCCCTCTTGCCCTTTTCTGTTGAACTCTTGCTTCTCATATGAGTTTTACTGGCCTTGTATCCTTCATCCTTACTAAATGCCCAAACCATTTTACTTGGTTTTCTTCAATCCTTTGTAGAACAGATTCCACTCCCAGCTCTTCTCTAATAACTTCGTTTCTAATTTTGTCTTTCCTAGTGACTCCTTTGACTGTCCTGAGGTATTTCATATCAATAGCCTGTAACTTGCTTTTTTGCCTGTTCGTTAAAACCCAGCTCTCGCTTCCAAATATCAATATGGGTCTGAATACTGTTCTGTACACAGTCATCTTTATTTTTCTGCTTATCATTTTCTTCCTTATGAAAGATGTTTTCAATGTGTGATAGAGCCTAGATGCGATTTCCTCTTCCATTGTTCCATCGCCTTGTACTACTACTCCTAGACATTTGAAAGCTTCGACTTGTTCAATACGTGCGCCCTTAGTAACTATATTCATTCCATTCCCCTCTGCTGTTGTCATCACTTTTGTTTTAGATACGTCAATATTCAAACCTCTCTTCGATAATTCCTGGATCCAGATTTTAAGGTTATCTTGTAAGTCTTTTGTAGAAACCGACATGTACTTTTTTAATTTTGCTTTTGACGGCCTTTATTACATCATCCATAATCATAATGAATAATATCGGGCTCAGGACTCCTCCCTGTCTCAGCCCATCTCCTATGATAAATTCCTCTGACGGCATGTTATCCTTTCTAATATAGCATGTATTTTGGGCGTATATGCTTTGTATACACTCTGTTAGGTGGTTATGACTCCTCGTTTTGCCATGCTGTTCCACACAATTCTCCTTGGAATATTGTCGAACGCATTTTCCAGGTCTAAGAAAGCTAGGCTTAGTTCCGTGTTCTTTGTATTACGTTTTTCGATTAGCTGTTATAGTTGTTGCACTCCAGGGTGTCTCCTTTTTTGTGGGGATGATTATTCCTATTTTCCAATCATCGGAAATTTGTGTTTCTACTACCGCCTTGTTCAATAATTCGGTAAACAGCTCCAAGCATTCACCGCTCAACTTCTTCAACATTTCAGCGGTAATACCCCGCAGATTTCCCCCGTTTCAGGACATTGATGATTTCCGCAACTTCTTTTTGTATTTTGTTTAGCTCAGTTTCTGTTGCACCTCTTTGTGGGAATACCGAAGTGTCATTTGCAGTCACATTTGTCTTCGTTGTGTTCAAGAGCTCTTCAAAGTGTTGTCTCCACCTTGCTATTATGATTTTAGGCTCCGTAATGTTTTGGTTATGCTTGTCTTTGACATGCCTGAGATTATACTGTTTAGGGTTTCTTAAAGTTTTCAAAACTATATAAAATAGTTTTTATTTTCCTCTGCTGTCTTGTTCCAGCTTAGTCCCAAAATCTTCCCATGACTGTTTTTCGCTTCCAGTATCATCTCCTTGGTCTTTATCCTTTCTTTTTTATAGTCATTGTAAGTTTTGTCGGTCCTGTTCCCTAAGTATGCTTTCCATTTTGATATACAAGAATGTAAAAATTACAGCAAAATGGATTAAAAAAAACTTGTGTATACGAATAATTATACAAAGTTGTTAAATGCTAAATTAATCTTCAACAAACAAACAAATATTATTGTTATTATATACGTATTATATCAATAAAATTTTAATTTTGTGTTCAGATTTCATACCGTTTTATATTACTAAGTTTAGGACTGAAAGGTCTATTTAAATGTACAAAATTCCAATATAGCGTCCATATGGAAAAACAAACTTGGTGATGGAAATTGAAACAAGAAATGTAGAATTGAAAATCTGACAACGCCATTTTGCAGAGGAGAATAAATAACAATGGGAACATGCAATATATTTTAAAATTCCATCTCAAATAAAGTCAGGAAAAAATAAAAGTGATTTTGGGATAAATCCTGGTATACAAAACAAATGACCATCTGATAATTTCAAGATCTACCTAGGAAATTCTGCTTTTTTGACATAACTAAGGTTTGGTAATGTCAATGTATGGCGTATTATAAGTTTTTGGAATAAGAATTAGTAACTCTATTTTAAAAAAAAAATCCATAATGGCGTCCATAAGAAAAGATAAAGTTGATTCTGGAGGATAAGAGACGAAACGTTATATTGAAATTCTAATTATGCATTTTAGTAGACGAGAAAAAGTGGCAGCTTTAGTATGCAATTCATTTTGAAATCCCACTACAGATAAAATCAGGAACACACTAAAATGATTTTTGGAAAATTGATTTTTTTCCGTCTCTCTTTCTCTCCCTCTCTCTCTCTCTCTCTCTCTGGAATTACTTTGAATTTTGAAACTTTCTAAGCAGCATTTAGTTGATTATCTAAATATGCAACTTTAATATAAGCGATAGTTGCCGAGATCCCAACGGTGAGGGTGGAATTTGAAACACTCTGTATATATCACAAAAATTTTTACGTAAAGTTCGGATATCTTGAAAAAAGTACATCAATAGCATTCAGAATTTCACGTAGAATCTAAAAATTAGATAATATAAAGGATATTCTGTTTAAAATAGGCAAGGTGATATCTACTTGCACCGAAAGTGCCACCATCTTCAAAATATTTTAGCCGAATTGATTCCCTCAGTTATACCATAACCTCAAATTTTCATAATTCTCAACTTTTCGAGTAATCGATCGCTTCAGTTCCACGAAAGATGGTGGATAAAATCTAATATTTTCGACAAGCCTATTCCTATTTCTAGAAAAAAGTATTGTTGCTTTATTTCGATATAATAAGGTCTCTTTGAGAAAAGCAGAGTTGCTTCAGTTCTGTTCTTATCAATTTACGCTGCAACCGATCCATAATAAGTTCATTAAAAAAATAAAAATCGATCAGGTGACTTGAAAATTTATATCCTACGGTGTTCAAGTCAGCAGTACCAAAATCGATAAAATTGTGGTAAAACAAGGATGTTTTTCTCAAACAAATATTACTAGAAATGACTAGATTTTATTTGCATAATATTTTGCTTATATAATTTTTCTAGCAATTATGACTTTTAAGAGCCAAAATAAAAGTGTTTATATTTTGCAAGAAAATAACAGTAATTCATATTATCCACTTACCACAATTTAATACTGAAACGGGTTTTAGTACTTCTCCACTATTATCAGGTATGGTAGTAGCAGTCAAAATATCACATAGAACATCAACTGATGACTTCGGCTCTGCTTTACATGCGTTTTGAATAGTTGACGAATCATCGCATTCAAAATGCAAAAGAGAGCTCTGCATTCCATTCGGTGCTTTTGAAGACGCTGCTTGGCTTTGTAGAATTAGTACGTTATATTTATGAAATACTGATGATATTTCATCATTCGTTTCTAAAACAGCACCTAATAAAAAAATGGCGTCAAGTAGGTTAGCTCTGTACTTCCCACGCAACGTCATTAACTTGATTATGAATACAATGTATACATTGCGTATACAATGAATACAATGTATAGAATAGCACAAGTGAGGTTAGGTTTATTCGCAAACGTCAGAAAGTTGGTAAACAGTGAACCGACAACTTAAAATATGATTGGACGCTCCAAGAATAAAGAAATCGATGAAGCAATAATACAATGTTGCAGAATTTGTATCTATCCTGAACTTTCAGTTCCACCTAAAATCAGAGAACCATTAGGATCGATCTGGAATTGATCCTAAACAGATTCCACAAAAATGTGTATTTGAGCGTAGAAAACAAGGCGTTGCAGCAAGTTACAGTTGTGTTTTGTGGCCTTCATCACTGTTGTGCCAGGCAACGTGGTGTGTGGCGCACTCTTTCTACACAAGTGGTGCCTGCTTCTCCCCTCTCTCGCTTCCTCGTACACATGCAAATCTAAAAGGGAAAGGGACTTTCGCCAGTACTGTATGCAAGTAGTTGAACTACGATTTGCTATTGTATACATTATATACATTGTATACGTGAATATCGAGACGTATATATTCACCATTGTATACGCGTATAAATTTAAACAATTCATGTTTATTGCTGCTTCTCGTGCATATAAAGAACTTACCAAGCATTCCGTCACTGTCTTGTGTTTCTAAAGCTAACTTATTTATAGTTGGTCTCAACCTTTCACAGTTGTCATGTAACTCTTTAATGAGATCGAGTTCACCAGCAGTAGACTTTGTTGGTTCATAATTATCTAGCATTTCATTCAGAAGTTTAACATGATACTGCACAGATTGTAATTCAGATATTTTCTTTAGTTCAGCTCTTTTATCATCCTGTAGGTAGAAAATAAACAAATATTATTATACACCGAAGCCCGTAATGAATCCGCCAAAAAGGGATCCTAAATAAAACTCGCTCATTAATGAGATACTAATGCTGATATCTTATATATAATCTTTCTTTAAGAAAGGGTGTTCCACTATAATATCTCAATCTCTCGTATGGATATACAACACAAAAATTACGTTCATTTCTGGTCCATAACATATTCTACTCTTAAGTAACTCTTCTTGAGCCAGCCATTTGATAGTGCAATATAATGCTAAAATGCAAATATCTCAAAAAGGGTTCATTTAACCAAAATAAATGTAATGTTTTATACTTAAGAATCATTACTCTATCACAATTTTTAAATAAAAAACCATGGAACGGTACTAGCAAAAGATTATAATATAAACTCGGACGACAGCACTTTGCACTTGGGCATTCAGAATGTCAAACCGAGCTGTGGATAGTTTGGGAGAAAAACAATGGTATTGAATTAATTGGGAGTTCCTCTTTGACATAAGAGGTGAAGATTATCACTGATGTGTTTGTTAGCGCAACAATTTTACGGTTTGGAAACCACAAAACTGTATTTTAGCCCACAAAAGGTGTCGAGAAGATCACTTAGAACGAACACGTCTCTTCAATCGAGGCATCAGCTGGGGAAATAACATGAGATATCCGTCTTCCGAGTCTTTTCATCTTTTCCACTCAGTATAAGTACCAGGTGAGGCTCGTCGTGCAGTATCTGGGATGTTTTGGCTCTGACTACACAGTCCATGCTCAACGCTGGACAGCCCTCGACTAAATAGATGGATATCTAGTATAAAGTGCGTTTGTCACTATGTTCTTCAAGTAAATCGATGTGAAGTAGACAGTCAATTTTCGAACAGGCCGATTTTTTATTGACATTGTATTGATTTTTTGTGGCCTTATGTAGGTTTTTCTACAAGATGTTAACTTAGCACTTAGTTGTACGTGTTGCCTAAACGTAATGAGGCTTCAGTTATCAATGTTTGGCTCTGATGTGATGTAAAATCTGCTTCAGAGATGGCATTACTGGAGGACTAAGCTGTAAGTTGTATGTGTTGATGATAATTACATTGGGTTCTTGTCTCAAATACACTTAATTGAGAATTAGTTGCGCATCCGCTTTTTCTTATCCGTTCTGGAAATTACATATGCAAATTTGCTGAATTTAAAAAATGAGAGAGATAAGAAATGATTATATTCACTGTACACTGTCTAATTAGAAGCCATATACATGCTAACAGTAATTATACACCACGCGGCCGCGGTGGTGATTTCCCGTGATTCTCCTCAAAGTTTTTCGTAATTTATAACTTTGAGCATAACCTCTCTTCAGAAAGCACAACACAAATAACCCGTCGGGCACAGCTAACAGATATACTTCACTGGCAGCATATTTAGTAATGATTTTCTCACACACCAAATGACCAAATATCACTGTTTTTATACGCATGCAGACCCATACAAATTATCTCATCCAGATGCGATCTTGCTATTCAACCAACTTTCTTCTCAGAGATGAAAACTACAGATTACTCGGCATCACAAAACATATGCAACCAACAATGCCTGTAGTTGAGCTATTCCTCCATAGATGGACGATCACAAGGATCCTAGAGAGCAAACGTGGAATGAGTTTGCAACCTAAAAACTACCTAGTCTGCAAGATGACTTTATAGGTCTTTTTGACGTTTTATAGGTTTTTTACTTAATACTGGCACGGGTAGCATGTATATGGCTTGTAATTCGACAGTGTACAGTGAATATAATTATTTAATATCTCTCTCATTTTTTAGATTCAGCAAATTTGTATATGTAGATTCCAGAATGGAAAAGAAAAAGCGGCTGCGCAACTAATTTCTAGCTTTGAATCTCAATTAAGTGTATTTGAGACAAGAACAAAATGTAATTATCAACACATACAACTTACAGCTTAGGCCTCCAGTAATGCCATCTCTGAAGCAGATTTTACATCACATCAGAGCCAAACATTGATAAAAAGCCTCATGACGTTTAGGCAACACATACAACTAAGTGCTAAGTTAACGTCTTGTAGAAAAACCTACATAATGTCAAAAAAACGATATAACGTCACTTTTCAAGATGCATGATACCCGTGCCGTGCCGTTTGCGCAAGTACGTATCTGATGAGGGGAAAGGCTATATCAATAGATGCTTATAATAGTTCGTATAACCACAAAAAGGTTTAAAACAACCCTTAATTTCAAAATCTGGAAAGGAAAGATGACATCAGGAAAATCTTTATCACGAATGATTCATATCGCAAAAAGTACTTACCAGTAATACCTAAGAAACTGGCCTATTGTGATTTAAAAAAATAGCGATCATGGATTATTCCTACCAGGAAATATTCTACTTAGATATAGCTAAAAACTTGTGGAAAAAGTACTTGCTAGCAGTACATAAGAAACGGCCTCATTGTCATCCCTTTGCGCCATTTCTGTAGGGGTGTGGAGCTCTTCTTAAAAATCGCGATCATGGATTATTCCTACCAGAAAATACTTTAGCTCTGCATAGCTAAAAATCTCCTTGCGATATTGTCGAAGGGGTAAAAAACAATAGCAAAACACCAGAGTTGGGATAAACGACATCAGGAAAATCGCGATCATAAATATACATAATTCATATCGCAAAAAGCACTTACTAGCAACATATAAAAAATGCCCGATTGTCATTTTCTTACCCTATTTCTGTGTGGGTGGGTAGCCAACTCCAAATGTGGGAATGTTCTAAAAAAAATGCATCATAAATTATTCCTACCATAAATTATACTAGCTATGTATGGCTAAAAATCGACGGTGCCCATATCTCCTTACGGTGTTTTCATATCAATTCATACCGCTAAAAGTTCTAGCTAGCAATATACAAAAAATGGCGCCAAGTAAGTTGACTCTGTACTTCCTACGCTATGATGTCATCACTTCGTAAAGGATTATGTTTGACACAAGTTTGCCCTTTGGATGCATAACAAAAAATTAATCACCTTCCTCGTCCCCCAGATGAATTGCTGCAGGTGCACATGGTCGTTGCGATGACCAATATCCCGTGAATGACGATATTGGCCTTCACCAGGCACAGAATCCGCCACAGCCGACGTTGTTACGTCCGGGGGACCACGTCGCACGTATCGACACCCGACTCTAGGAGATATTAAGTTTTAAGGGTAAATGTAAGGGGACATCTAAGATGAGCGAAATAGGCTTAACGTACATAGAATTACTGGGGTTAGAGGCGTATAAATATACCAACGTCAAAAAATTAGGATATATATCCTCCTCCACCCCCTAACCCCCAATTGTTAACCCCTACAAACATTTTCCCGTAACTGATCGGCACGGGTATTATGTGAAAAACCGATAAAACGTAAAAAAACTTAAAAATGTCATCTTGCAGACTAGGTAGTTTTTAGGGTGGAAACAGTCATTCCACGTTTGCTCACTAGGATCGTTCTGAGCGTCCATCTATGGAGGAATGACTGAACTAAACTGCGCGCATTGTTGGTTGCATATGTTTTGTGAAGCCGAGTGGTGTGTAGTTTTCATCTCTGAGAAGAAAATTGGTAGAATAGCAAGATCGCATCTGGATGATTATGGGTATTGGTCTGCATGTATATAAAATCACTGCCAATGAAGTATATCTATTAGCTATGCCCGGCGAGTTTTTTGTGTTGTGCTTTCACAGAGAGGTTCAAAGTTCTAAATTACGAAAAACTGAGGAGAATAACGGGAAATCACCACCGCGCCCGCGTTGTGTGTAATTACTGTTAGCATGTATATAGCTTGTAATCCGACAGTGTACAGTGAATATAATTATTTCTAACTGTCTCATTTTTGAAATTCAGCAAATTTACATATGTAATTTCCAGAATCGATAAGAAAAAGTGGATGCACAACTAATTTCTAGCTTTGAATCTCAAGTAAGTGTATTTGAGTCAAGAATCCAATGGAATTATCATCAACGCATATTATTAGCACACAAATCCTCACTCTGCACCTATGCATTGCCATTTCCTTCCAGCTATAGTATACAACTTACAGCTTAGACCTCCAGTAATGCCATCTCTGAAGCAGATTTTACATCACATCAGAGCCAAACATTGATATCTGAAGCCTCATGACATTTAGGCAATACGTACAACTACAAAACGAGTTCACAACGTGTCCATCAGCTAGTGCTAAGTTAACATCTTGTAGAAAAACCCACATAATGTCACAAAAAAACCAATATGATTTAAAAAAAAAATCGACATACTGACACTTTTCAACATACGTAATACCCGTGCTGGAAACATTCCCATTGAGCTGACTAAGTACGGACCAGATATGTTGCACCAGTTGATGGATAGATTATTTAATAAATGTTTGGAAAGAGAAAATATTCCAGATGATTGGTACATAGGATACATTAGCTCGATTTCCAAAAAGGGTGATAATTGCTCTAATTATAGAGGTATTACGGTCACCAGTTCAATGGAAAGGTTGTACGGTCGAATTTTAAAGAACATAATAGAATCGGAATATCACGACATTGAAGAACAAAACGAATTTCGCGCAGGAAGATCATGTTTGGACAACATACTTATTTGTACTTCAACAAGTTATCGAAAAAAGGAAAGCACAGGACCTATCGACATATTTATTATTTGCTGATTTGTAGAAATCATTCGTCACGGTGACCTTGAAAAATATCTTCCAAATGTTGAAGAAAATAGGGCTTAGTGGAGATGATAGGTTTGTGAATATTTATAAAAATGGGAGAAGTGTCTCCAACTTTCTTCAAAATATATAGGAGGCTTTGGAAAATTGGAGATATGAATAACAATCAACATTTGAAAACTTTATTTTTCGTAGACGATCAGTTGGCTGTTGCGAGTGACGACGACCATTTGGACTACATGTTTAGAAAATTGAAAGTAGAATATAAGAAATGTGTGGACGGAATATTACTCAAACAAATA